ATTTGGCCTTGGCGGTAGTCGCACCTTAGTTTTTAGGTCTTGCTAATATAGAATGAAGAATAACGATTCCTATCAGATTAAAAACAGTGGAAATTATAATTCCTTTATACTTGAATCACGGCGTTCGTGGCTTCAAATTTTGTCAACTGTTTCTTTCTTCACGCTGTTAGCTCTATGGCGTTTGCCGTTGTCAACAAAGCTTGGTCTGGCTACCTGAAACTGCTGCACAAATATCCCGTTCGAACACAATGTATATCCACGGGTAAGACTTTTTCTTTCTATGCTAACTCAATTTGCAGCCCTTATTATGAGTTCGGGTGACATTTTTGCTCAAAAAATCGTTGAGAGACAGCCAAAGTACAGCCCCTCCAGGACTCTGAAATTTGGCATGATTGGCATGTGCTTTGTGGTTTGTACACCTCATTCTCCTCACAAACATGATAGGGGCCTGCATTCCACTACTGGTACAACTTCCTCGACCGACTGTATACCGGCACCAAGGTTATTCGTTCACTGAAAATGGTTGCCACAGACCAGGTTATTGCTCCACTTTTTCATCCTAACCCGCAACCCATCTCCAATCTTCACAGTGCATTATGGCTCCCTTTATTGTCTTCTCGATAATCGGCCTGGTCGGGTTGACAAAAAATTGGTCCATTGAGGAGGCCAAGACCGGTCTAAAGGAAAACTACATTGGAGCCATGTTGATGAATATCAGGGTAGGTCCGACGTTCTCAATTAGTTGGTAATACCTCCTCTTCTATCTCTTTAGGTCTGGCCTCCCGTCCAGTTCATAAACTTTACTGTTGTACCTGTGCATCTCCGGTAAGTGTTTTTATTTCGAGTTTACATTCCTTTAGGGTCCTAGTGGTAAACGTGGTGGCCCTCTTCTGGAACACCTATCTTTCCTACAGGGCTCGATGCAGAAAAGCGCCTCATCAGTAGTCACAGATACTGAATCCTCCTGTCTTGCCTCTTCCCTATTGGACAATCTTATAGCTTCTCAATCCTATTTCTGCGAGCACTCCAACAAACCACGTCTTTCTCCCGGTTTTTGTTCAAAATATATCTTTGTATTTACGTTCGCCGGTTCTCGTTTTTCTTTCGATGCCTGTGTTTACCATCTACCGCGCTTTCGGAGTTTCCTGCTTAGCTGCTTGTTTCTAATGCTCTTTTTGGTCGAGCGCTTTCTCGATCGCGTTGAATGTTGAGAAGGATTGACTTTGTTATAATTGACATGATCACGTTGTCGCCTCAGGTAAAGGTGTATAGGCTAATAAATGGATGGCGAGCCTTTGAATTCTAGTGGATTCATGTACTGAAAGAATAAGAGAAGGAATGTGTTCATCCGGCCCTATTTGGGACCGTCGTTAGGCATAAGGGCTGCATGGTGCAGGGTGTAGTTTATCGTTT